ATTTTTTGGCAAAAGTCGAAACTAGGTTTTGCCATTCGTCTGTGGCGAAACCTCTAAGTTTCGCCTGCCAACACTAAATTATACAGTATATTTTTTTTAAAGTTACAAATAATGTTACAAAAGTTTTTAGTTGAAATAAACCAAATTACCTACTTTTAATTAGAAATTACTAGAAAACTATTGCCATAACAATGTAATTGTTGATATAGGTGAAGTAAATTAGTTTTGTAATTATATGCTATTATATAGTATATTACAAAAAATTTTTGTGCCTATTATATGGTTTTATAGGTTTTCTAAGTTTTGTATATAAAATTTTAACTCACTATTTCGTGTTAGGGTTAGTATGTAGGTTATAATTAGAGTTTGGGAGGGTTTTTAGGGGCGTAAACCCAATTTTATTTAGAACACCGCATACTGATTAATTGGTGGTTTTTAAGATGATGTAACGTAGGTGATAAAACATCATAGGCGCGTTTTAATAAAGCTTTTAAAAAAATATATTATTTTTAAAATTTTGATTATATAGAGTGATATATACTAAAAGAGCCTATTTCAAAAAAATTTTTATTATAAAATTTTTATTTATTCTTTATTAAAAAAAAAATCTAAAATTTTATTATCGATAATATAAAAAAAAATTTAAATTATATTATAGCATTAATAGATTTTTGTTTATAAATTTTAAAAATTTTTAACAATTATATAAAAGTCTAAACTCAGTTTATTAATATAAAAATTATTATTTGTACTGTATATAATTTTTAAAATTTTTAAACTATTTTTAGACAGTACAAATCTAAATTATTAAATAAATTATTATATTTTCATTAATTAAATAATTGTTAATATAAAATAATTTTTAACAAAAAAATAATAAGTTTATTTTAATACTAAGCAGTACTTATTTTAAACATGGTAAAACTAATTAAATAAAACTTAATTTGTAAGGTTTTGAATTTATATATAACAATAAGTATGCTTATATTAAGCTTGCTTTAGTACCAAAGCAAATGTACTTCAAGCACAAACTAAACTGCTCAAGTAAATTAGTATCACCATTGTAACGTGTCTAATCCATTCTGCTATTCATCTTACTTTGACATACGTACCTCATTAGGCATAAAACTTATATGCATTGATGCATTATTCTTTACGCATGTGATTTTTCAAGCCAACCCAATCAAAATTGAAAAACATGATCACGAACACTCGTAATTATCAGGGTGACTGCGCCTTTGTACAGTTAATAGTTTAATTTTTCAGATTTTGGGATATTCTATAAATCCGTCGCAATGAAGTTATCTAATAAATTAATGACAATAACGTTTTTATATACGTACATATACATAAATGCTAGTTTACTTTTACATAAAAAGAAAAAAAAGATGTATCTCTTCCCAATAAGATATAAATTTATGTTAAAGTTAAATCACACATTAATATGTGTGTCTTGATATTTACATATGAAATTTCATCAAATAATCTTTGACTTCTGCAATAAAGTACAGTATATTTAATATTCAACCAAAAGTTATAATATTGAAAGATTCTGACGTGTTAACCATAAATGTTTAATTCCAGGAGCTTGTACGTAATGGGTTAACAATACGTATTTAGAAAATGCGGTGTATTTTTAAACAAATACACAAGTAGATCAATAAAAATCTTTGGTGTGATATACAACTTTTTCAAATATTATCTATATTATCTATATTATCTAAATTCTTTACATATCACTTTCAGATGTAATTTAAACGATTGGAAAGGTTGCATATTACGCCAAGGATTTTTGAAAGAATACTGTCTAATATTCTACCTGTGATACTTTAGTCCAGAATTACTTTAGATTAGTTACTATATATAAATAATTCTGTAATTGGACAATAAAAATGACTCTCGATATGATAAGAAACTCTTGATGTAAGAAAGGTTTTACAAATCTAATTGCAATTTTATAAATTTTATAAAAAAAAAAAAAACTTTCTCGATTTAAGGACTTTGATTGGATTCGGTTACTCTCTTATATAGTAATAGGCATTTGTATAAACGGTTATACCGAAGCTAGACAGAAGCCACAATATTATGTTGTATATTATGCAAAATCAAAAACTTCATTAAAAGATTAACCAAATTAAATGCCTTTATATGTATGTTCATGTCTCAGGCTGCCTTGTACAAATAAGATGCTGAACGGCGTAATTCATAATCGGAGATTACATTAGCTGTTAGAAGAATATCGGGCAGAATTCACGTAAGACGAGATGCATTATAATGTGTACATAGGAGCACACAATTTCAATATTTAAGCCTTTATGGGTTTGTGATGCACCATTTACATAAACTGTACCAATAAAGTAATGCGACTAACCTATGTTGCACCATGACAGAGCATCATATTATTATTATTTTTATACGCGTCGGTTTCTATTTCAGAGTCTTCACTCCTAATATCTTTAACTCATCCTTTCATAAACCTCCGTGTCTATTAAATTATTTATTACGATTACGCTTTGTTTTTCAAAGCGGAATGGTAAAAACCGAATAATTTAATACTACCAACTATTTTTCCGCACTCTTTATTTTTAATTCTTCCTTATTCCTTTTTTAATTTCCTTAGCTTTTTATTTGAACCTTTTAACGCTTTCATCCTAGTACTTTTCTTATAGTGCAAAAAAAATGAAATTGTCTATTCTTGTAGTTTACATAATTCTGTCGATTCTGTCGACAAGCGAATTAATATACGCATGGGTATATCCGACCTCACCTGAAACTGATTCTGTTTGTACTCCTGGTTCAAATGTAAGTCTCTAATAATTAATTATATTATTAAAATGTTGAATTTGTTGAATTTAATTAACATATGTCCTAATAGATTACAGTACTATGGAAGGATGATGGTAAATCTCCAAATATCGCGACAAAATCTATAAAAGTATATTTCATGTCAGGCTCCGATCAACAACAAATATACCTTGCAACAATTGGGGAAGACATTCCAGCTAGTCAATGTTCTATCAACTATCCTTGTCCTCAAGTTGACCCTGTTGGCAAATGTATGCATTTTTTTCATTTTTTTTTGTTCAAATAATTGTAAAATATTTGGTGTGATAATCTTTAATTTTTTTTTATATATAGGGTATTTTTTCAGATTTTCTGATGGTAATACTACCAATGATGCCTATACAACACGGTTTACAATTACCGATTTAAATGGTAAATATCCTCCAGCTCCATCTCCTGCACCGGCGCCTGGAAAAAATCCTGGTCAAAATGGCAAAATAGTATCCAATTCAACCAACTCTGCAACAGATCCTTCAACTAATGGTACATCAACTTCCACACCAACTTCGACACAACCTTCTTCCAACGATAACACGTCAAATTCTTCCAATAAAAACGTACCAGCGGTAGTTACTGGACAATCTGCACCATCAAAAACTGTACCATCAAGCGCTAAACTTACCAAACAATCAGGTTCTGCTGATTCTGATAAAGCATCAGCAACAGGATCAGCACCAAGTAATATAGCTAGCAATGTATCTAGCAGTGCATCTTTCTTAGAGTACACCAAAAAATTAATGTTTAGTGTAATAGTAGGATTGACATTGAGTTTTTTGATGCTTCATATTTAAAATTATACATATTTGTATATTGTAATGGAATTAACTTATAGTCACTTTTATTAATTATTAATTATTATGGCCAATACTTCTTTCATTTTCTTTGAGAACTGTTCTTTTTAAATTAATAACCACGTTTCGCTTATACACTAATCTCAAATAACCATAGTAATACTCTAGAATTTACAAAATAAAAAATAAAAAATTTAGACAGTTTCTATTTCACTTGTTTATTTCATTTATCATTTAGCATTGCTTATACTGTAGTACTCAGGAGATAAATTAAATGAAAAATCATAATATAATTGTATTGTTGACTGATGTAGGGATAGTGAAGTCCTTAAATCCAAGACCTAAATCTTAGTTTTAGGACTTAGGTTTATAGGTCCACAATAAATGTTAATAACATGTGAAGCGTCAATGATTTTTGTGCCATTCAATTCAAACAAGTTGTACGGTATGAAAATAATTCGATTCTGATTTATATTTCATTTCAGTATTCAAAAGTATTCCTTTTATTCAGTATATATTACAAATTACATTTCCAGTTAATTATTCTTCACTTAATATTTTTGCTTATATGTCTAAAATGCATATACTGTTAAACTGCAGGCTATACGTACGTATTCATTTCCCAACCTGATTATTAATTATAAATGCATAATTACTCTAATTGCATAATCGTAATGCATATAAAAATCGGCTAATTTGGAAACTGGTGTATGCATAAAGATGAATTGCTTCCATTTTACGTTACTTCGAGTTTACAAGCTTATTAACCGCATAATATTTTAATTAGAAATAGTAATACTAAAATTTTGCAAGTTTTTTTGTTAGGTTATTTATTGAATATAAAAAATTTTAATTTAAACTTGAGAGAAATTTGTAAACGCTTTTTTAGGTTTAACACATCTGATATATTTAAAGTGACACAACCTTTTAATAATATTGTTTTGAAGTTTCATATTTTATTAATAAAATAGAAAATCGTTCGGTTAATAAAATATTAATTAATGTATTACACAATAGACTGACTTTATCAATTCTAGACTGGTGGGTTATTATATCATAACTATATCAAATCATATACAGTTGGCGATAATTGTATTTCAATTAAAATAATTAAAATGATGGAGTTAAATTTAGAAATGTCAATAGTAATAGTAAATCATGGTCAATCATTGCCCATGAGCTGACCTACAGCGATTACTCGGATTATTATTAGGTATATAGATATGATTGGTGTTTATACTAAAATTGTAATGCGTTCATAGTAAATATCGATATAACTTGTGTATAATTATGACGCTAGTTAAGGTAAATCAAGTAAATCTAAATTGGGTTTAATTAAGTTCGTTATAAATAGAATCAGTTCCAACTCAAGGTTCAAATGAACCAAAATCTGGTTCAGTTGAATCTGGTCTAAGTTCAAATGAACCAAATCTAGTAGAACCCGGATCAGGTTTAGGTGAATCAGAATTAGAATCAGAATTAAGTGATTCCAGTTTTAGTTAAAATGAATCTCATGCACATATAGATATTCTTTGTACATTATAGAGGGCTACTATCGCTATATATTAAATTATTTAACGTTAACTTTATTATCATTAAATCTTTAACCGGTCAGTCAAAGACTTCTGAATAACCAGGCCATAACCGTAATCGTTAACGTCCCAGTCACGCGAGTAAATTGGAAAATCATGTGATTGTATATTTACAAACAAGAATTACATAAATACATGCATATACGATGAATTAATAATTCATTTATCAAAATTAACAATTTCGATAATTCTTGGCTGTCACAAAATAATGAATTTAATTTTTTTTTTTTTTTCCAGCTACATGCACAACATTCTATCTGAGATCTCACATCGTTCAATTAGCATAGAAAATAAGTTTATAAAAAAGAAGTTTCAAGTCCTTATAAACTATTACTAAAAGTCAAACATTAGATTGACCAAAGATTAATTGATCGTAGCCAACCAATAAAAACTTCAACAATGTCTACTTAGTCCAATTTTCCACTCATCTTAGTTAACTCCCACCATAATTTTGTATCGATAGGAATATCTAGATTATTAGGTAAATATTCTACTAATATTTCCATCAACTCATCTAATGGTTCACTCTTATGAAATTCCATCAGATGTTTTCTTACATATTCATAATTAAAAGAAGGTACTCTAGCCCAAAACCAACAATATTTACATCTAAATAATCCCGTATTCGCAAGTCCTCTTAATACTGCACCTTTTATCGTATGGGCGGGATTTCGTAAAAACACAACCGCTTCGGTTGACAAAATTGGTATTAACACTTCATCAACGAACCTTTCATCCCAAGGTTGATATGGATAATTGTATTGAACTGGAGGATCAGAAAATGATGGACACCAGCGTAGGAACTTTAAAAGATTTATTACGGATCTTGTTTGTGAATACTCATTATTGTGTATAGGATTTCTTATATACTGTGAACTTGAAGAAAAAGTAACGTTGGACGCTATAGTTGGTAAAGTCGTTATTCCTTGTTCTAACAATAGCGGTGTATGACGTGGTAGTAAAGCTCTAATCTTCTCGATAATGTACATTTGTTGGCTTAAAAGTTGGACTTGTTGAATTCGATCAGAAGTAAAGTACTCAGAAGCATGTACTTGTTGCAATTGTTCTTCGATCCATTTTTGCCAAAGCGCGGGGCAAGTAACATTACCTGATCGGAATATGTCAAAGGATGGAACCTCTTGTCTATTCCAAGACAGTGACGTTGGCTGTTGTATGGAAGCATCCGTGATTGAATTCATAATTGACCATGAAACAGGAGTTGTTGGAGCGGTTGGTTGTTGATTACTTTGTTTTTGTTGTATACAATTGTTCTGATTAATTGTAAAAGGAAATTCATCAGAGATACCATACTTAATCGGTGATGTATTTTCTGATGACCACATCATCTGATCTGGTGTTAAATTCTCGATTCTATTGTAATGATCAGGTGCATACAAGTCATTTAACCAAAATGATTGTTCCGCTGACATATTCGTTTGACCATATATTTGACTAGACACGCAATCTTTGGTTTCAAAAATTAATGGTTGACCTTGTTCAAATGTACCTTGTTTTTTCCAAGATTCTCTTGTGGCTTCGATCATACTCATTGTCTCAGGAGAAAAAGGAATCATTCTCCATTTAAAATGTTCATTTGATCCAGCCTCAATATCTTGACATATCACATCGGAATCATCATCATCAAGTAAAATGTCAGTACAAGTATTTTCAGTATCTATCTCTGACGTAGGTTGTTGGGTGTCACCTTCAATATATTGGTCCAACAATGATTGCTGTGCTTCGATGCACATGTTATCCGTATTTTGATTATCACATGCAGATAAAAGTTGTTCTTCTATGCATATGTCTTCCGTCTTTTGGTCAATTGTGAGTGACGGAGAAAATTTGCTTATGTTAGCATTGCATGACTTATCAATGGGTTGGTCAGGAATCTGCGAGATCAAATATTGATCATCATTTGTTTCAGGTAATATCACGTTTTTATAATCAACCAACTCATTAGATTTATGATGATCGATCGATTGAGATAATTGGATACCTGATGTATCAGGTGAATTTATTTCTGAATCAGATGAAATAGAGTCCATATTTTCTACTTTATATCTTGCCGAAACTGTTTGATATTCATTTAAAAGTTTTCCTTTAAGTAAAGTCCATTTTTTCTCCGTGAATGGAGTTCTTTGCTGAATGGCATTTTGATATGATGGGCATTCAAAAATGTATTTTTCCAAGTATTTTGAAGATCCATCATCAGTTTTTTCATCCAGTAATTCCTTAAGATATTGTGCAATTGCCTCTTTACGTAGAGTACTATTTTGATCCCTTATTTCAACCATTGCTTTACGTTCTTCAGAGTCAGCCTGCGCACGAATTTCAACATCAGCCATAATTAAACGAACCAATTCATATTTTTGTTTTAACCAATCAGAACGATTTTCAACAGGAATTGACTCATATTCTTTGACATAAGTATCCACCATAGATGACCAATAAAATTTAACACCTTTTTCTTGATGAAATGGTAACGCGCAAATCAATTCAGAAGAAACACTAGAAGCAATGGAATCACCTCTACACAATCGACCGACATCAGGATATCAATGATCGTAAATATTTAATTAATGGAAAGTTAAAATTTTTATTTAAATAAAAACGAACCTCGTTGTCTTTGCTTTAAAACAAAGTCCACAACAACGAATCCGAAATACCCAATAAATCTTTCTGATCCGTGATTTATTACAAAATTGACAACCACGATGATTCAAAAGTTCATGATACTGTTCTTGAGTTATTCCTTCAGGGGGTGGTAGATCCGAACGTTTATACATAGCAATCTCTGATATTTGCTGCGGCTCGCTCGAATCATCACATGATCTCGCGTTTGATGAGGCGGCAGATATTGGATCAGTAGAAGGAGGAGATGAAATGGTAACGGTAGGCGAGATTATTGAAGAATTTTCTTTATTTTGACATTTTTGAGATATTATAGCGTCCATTAATGTTTTTCTCTTTGATGGTGGCATAATCATGAGCGTTAACTTCTTATATCGTTATACCCTGAGTATAAAAAAAAAAAATATAGTTATATTATTATCATCCAAAATAGAAGACAATAAAACCGCGCAAAAAATTTCAAAAAAATATAAAAAAAAAAACATACTATTGTTCAAAGTTGCTTATCAACAGTAGACCGCGCTAAAAGGTTTCGCGTCGCTAAATTGTAAAGAAACTGAATGAAAATGAAATAGGGGGCATAAAACAGTGCAGATCAACTATTTATACTTTAAAAAAAATCGACGAATTTTTGATTTACCTCTGATTTGGTTACATCAGTTTGTGTTGACACAATTGTTACACGTCCAATAACATGAAATCAATCATCAAATGCGCGTGCAAATTATAAAAAGGTTGTACAATATAATAAAAAAGATTATGTAATAAAAGTAA